ATTAGACAGCTCATCCAGACTGAAAATCAACAAAGAAACCTCGTACTTAATCTACACTATAAACTAAATAGATATTTACAGAACGCTTCTTTCAGGGGCACCAGAATACACATTTTTCTCCTCAGCACATGGATTATTCTCAAGCATAGACCATTCATTAGGCCACAAAACAAGTCTTAGACCTTTCAAAATAATGAAATAGCCAAAATTTGGAAGGAGCCTAAGTGTCCAGCAACAGATGAATGAATAAAGAAAAAGAAAATGTGGTACATACACACAATGGAGTACTATTCAGCCATAAAAGGAATGAGAGCCTGTTTATGTGCAACAACATAGATGGAACTGGAGGACATTATGTTAAGTGAAATAAGCCAGGCACAGAAAGACAAACTGCATGTTTTCACTTATTTGTGGGAGCTAAAAATTGAAACAATTGAACTCATGGATGGAGATTGAGAGTAGAAGGATGGTTAACCAGAGGCTGGTAAGCATAGTGGGGGAAATGAGAATGAGTACACAAAAACAGAAAGAATTAGTAAGATCTAGTATTTGATGGCACAACAGGGTGACTATAGTCAATAATAATTTAATTATACATTTTAAAATAACTAAGAAAGTAAAATTGGATTATTTGTAACACAAAGGATAGATGCTTGAGTTGATGGACACCCCATTCACCCTACTGTGAGTATTACACATTATATGCAGTATCAAAATACCTGATATTCCCCATAAATATATATACCAACTATGTATCCAGAAAAAAATTATGAACTAAAAATTTTAAAAAGAAAATCTGAATAGACCTATAACTAGTAAAAAATATTGAACTGATAATCATAAACCTTTCAACAAAGAAATGTCTAGGACCAGATGGCCTCACTGATGAATTCTATGAAACATTTAAAGAAGATTTAACACCAATCTTCCTCACACTCTTCCAAAAAATAAAAGAATAGGTAAAACTTACAAAATAAGACCAACATCACCATGATACCAGAACCAGAAAAAGACATTATTTTTAAAAACATACAGAGCAATATCCTTATGATACAGATGTAAAACTTCTCAAAAATACTAGAAAATGGACTAATGGCATATTAAAAGAATCATACACCAAGACCAAGTAGGATTTATCCCAGGAATGAAAGTGCGGTTCAAACTAGGAAAACCATTCAGTATAATACACCACATTAATAGAACAATGGAAAAAAACACATGATCATTTCATCTCAATTGATTCAAAAAAATGCACGTGACAAAATCTGTTACCATTTCATAGTTTAAAAAACACTCTCAAAAAACTATGAATAGAAGAAAACTTCCACAACATGATAAAGTACATTTATAAAAACCCACATCTAAAATACCTGCCTTAGTTCATTTTCTATTGCTATAACTGAATACCTGAGACTAGGTAATTTGTAAAGAAAAGAAATTTATTTCTTACAGTTCTGAAGGCTGGGGATTTCAAAGCTGAGGAGCTACATCGGAGGAGTGTCTCCTTGCTGGTGGGGACTCTCTGCAGACTGCTGAGGCTATTCTGGGCATCACATGGCGAAGAGGCTCACAAGAGACAGACAAACTTGCTTTTATAAAAGACCCATTCTCTTGATAACCCAGTAATCTATGAATGGATTAATTTATTCATGTGGCAAGGCCTCCATGACCCCAATCAACTCCCAAAGGTTCCACCTCTCAACACTGCTACAACGGGGACCAAGTTTCCAGCACATGAACTTTTAGAGTTTACATTCAAACCATAGCAGTATCCAATTGTGAAAGACTGAAAATTTTCCTCTTAAGGAAAAAAATGAGCACATCTGCTTTCATCACTGTTATTCAACATTGTACTAAAAGATCCAGCCAGAGAAATTAGAAAATAAAAAGAAACAAAGGGCATACAAATTGGAAAAGAAGAAGTAAAACTATCTTTATTCACAGATGATTCATATATATATAATTTCAAAGGTTCCACACAAAAACATAAGAGTTAACATACAAATTCAGCAGTTACAGAATACAAATCAGTGTGTGCTTTGATTTAAACGTGTCTCCTAAAGTTCATATACTAGAAACTTAATCCCTGCTGCAACAATGTTGAGGGTTAGGCTCTTTAAGACATAATTAGGTCATGAGGGCTTCATCCTCACGAATAGCTTAATACCATTATTGTAGGAGGGGGTTAGTTATCACTAAGTAGGGTCCTGAGTTTGTCCCCCTTCCTCTCTCTGTTGCTCTCTCATGCTCTCTCACCCTTCTGCCTTCTGCCATGGGATGATGCAGCAAGAAGGCTGTAGCCAGAGGCAGGTCCCTTGACCTTGGACTCCCCAGCCTTCAGAACTGTAAAAAATAAATTTTTCTTTATATTAGCCAGTCTGTGGTATTCTGTTACAGCAACCCAAAATGGAGGAAAATGCAGGGAATGAGAGTTATTGCTTAATGAGTTTCCTTTGGGGGTGATGAAAAGTTGTGGAAATAGATGTTAGTGATGTTTGCACAACACTGTGAATGTAATTAATGCCACTGAATTGTATACTTAAAAATGGTTAAAATGATATATTTTATATTATGTATACTTCATATTTTGAAAATTTTAACATGATTAATTCAGTTCAACTTGACTGCTGGGATAAAAGACAACGTCTTCAGATAATAATGAATATTTAGCTCAGATAATGGATCATCACAGGTCAAACAGTTACAGGCATTCCCACTTCAAAGCACAACAGAAGAGTGTTGCTCCTGTATCCTACACCATGACCATTTAATTTTGTTTTAAAAGTAAAAGCAAAAAGAACAAAGCTGGAGGCATCACACTACCTGACTTCAAACTATATTACAAGGCTACAGTAGCCAAATCAGCGGGGTACTGGTACCAAAACAGAAATATAGACCAATGGAACAGAACAGAGGCCTCAGAAATAACACTACACATCTACAACCATCTGATCTTTGACAAACCTGACAAAAACAAGCAATAGGGAAAGGATTCCCTATTTAATAAATGGTGTTGGGAAAGTGGCTAGCCATATGCAGAAAACTGAAACTGGATCCCTTTCTTATACCTTATACAAAAATTAACTCAAGATGGATTAAAGACTTAAACGTAAGACCTAAAACCATAAAATCCCTAGAAGAAAACCTAGGCGATATCACTCAGGACATAGGCATGGGCAAAGACTATATGACTAAAACACCAAAGCAATGGCAACAAAAGCCAAAATTGACAAATAAGATCCAATTAAACTAAAGAGCTTCTGCACAGCAAAAGAAACTACCATCAGAGTGAACCAGCAACCTACAGAATGGGAGAACAATTTTGCAATCTATCCATCTGACAAAGGGCTAATATCCAGAATCTACAAAGAACTTCAACAAATTTACAAGAAAAAAACAAACAACCCCATCAAAAAGTGGGTGAAGCATATGAACAGACACTTTTCAAAAGAAGACATTTATGCAGTCAACAAACATATGAAAAAAAGCTCATCACCACTGGTCATTAGAGAAATGCAAATCAAAACCACAATGAGATAACATCTCACATCAATTAGAATGGTGATCATTAAAAAGCCAGGAAGCAGCAGATGCTGGAGAGGATGTGGAGAAATAGGAATGCTTTACACTGTTGGTGGGAGTCTAAATTAGTTCAACCACTGTGGAAGACAATGTGGCGATTCCTCAAGGATCTAGAACTAGAAATATCATTTGACCCAGCAATTCCATTACTGGGTATATACAAAGGATTATAAATCATTTTACTATAAAGACACATGCACATGTATGTTTATTGTGGCACTGTTCACAATAACAAAGGCTTGGAACCAACCCAAATGCCCATCAATGATAGACTGGATAAAGAAAATATGGTACATATACACCATGGAATATTATGCAGCCCTAAAAAGGATGAGTTCATGTCCTTTGCAGGGACATGGATGAAGCTGGAAACCATCATTCTCTGCAAACTAACACAAGAACAGAAAACCACACACCACATGTTCTCACATATAAGTGGGAGTTGAACAATGAGAACACATGGACACAGGGAGGGGAACATCACACACCGGGGCCTGTCGGGGATCGGGGCTAGGGGAGGGATAGCATTAGGAGAAATACCTAATGTAGATGACAGGTTGATGGGTGCAGCAAACCACCACGGTACATGTGTACCTATGTAACAAACCTGCACGTTCTGCACATGTATCCCAGAACTTAAGGTATAATAATAATAAAAAATTTAAGTTTAGGTCAATGCAATAAAATATGGATTGAATACTAACATTACATATGTTGGAAAGGAAGAAAAAAATTATCTTTGCTTTTAACCGTATATCAAACACCTAAATAACCTAGCAAAAATATTATGTATACAGAAATCATCTTTTTTCCTGTTATGCTCAGATTAATTTTGGGTGTCATATTAAGAATTAATAATGCCACCTACTATTATTTGCTTGAGATAAAGCTACCACTTCCCCTTTACACAGATCTTAGTTAAAATCGATTCTCTAAGTAATATAATGATAACTCACCAATTTTTTTTTTTTTTTTTTTTTTTTTTTTGAGATGAAGTGTCACTCTGTTACCCAGGCTGGAGTGCAGTGGTGTGATCTTGGCTCACTGCAACCTCCACCTCCCAGGTTCAAGCGATTCTCCTGCCTCCACCTCCTGAGTAGCTGGGATTACAAGCACGCACCACCATGCCAGGCTAATTTTTGTATTTTTAATAGAGATAGGGTTAGTCAGGCTGGGCTCGAACTCCTGACCTCGTGATCCACCCGCCTCGGCCTCCCAAAGTGCTGGGACTACAGGCGTGAGCCACCGTGCCCGGCCCACCAAGTTAATTTTTATATAATTGTTGTTATATTTGTATGCTATCCAGTGACTCCCTAACAAGTTGTTTGTATATTTAATAATGTTCTCCCCTCATTTATTTGTATCATGGGAACACATAATTATTCACATTTTCATCTTCCAAAACAGAATCTTTTTACCTTGAGATTTTTCTGGTGCTTGGTAAGTTTGTTCTTCAGTCTTCTTTTGTAATTGTTCTTCTGAAACGTCAGCCTTAATAACAAAGTTGTAATAAGTAATTAGAAATTATATACATATATATATCAAGACTGGTATTTAATTACCTGCTTTGAGAAAAAGAGCTAGCTTTTTGCTCTCATCTACAATGTCATTGCAGAAAACATTTTATTTTTTATTATTTCCTGAATGTATCAAATTTAAAAGTCAGAACAATTAATGGACCTGAGAGGCAATTGGGAACACTGAATAGTAAGGAGGGTGCCCGAGCAATATTGTGATTTTTTCCTTCGCAAATAGTTCTAAGAAAATAGTGTTAATAATTATTAAGATTCTTGTTTAGATTTATATTTTAGTCTGTTTTAATCTTTAGAAGAACTCAAATGACTTACAAAATTATTATTATAGGAATACTTTAATAAAATGTATGATTAAAATATATTGTGGATACATGTCAGATATGTACAGCCTTTTTATCTTTTCTCTTTTTCCTAGCATTTTTGCCATGAGAATTTCCTACTTAAATGCTTTTTAACAAAAGCAGTTCTAAAATTTTTTTAGATCTTGTTTAGAGACCTATATAAAATTATTTCAAAATGAGTTGCTTTTACAATCATTTTATTGTATAAAAATATTTTTTTGTAGATGAAGCTGAAAACTATGAAAATTTCCCTTATCTCAGAATGACATACCTTTTATGTTACCATTAAAACTAAAATATAACCCACAACTTTTTTATCAATATCAAACAATTTGTATAAGTTAAGAATATTACTTAGATTCCCAAATATTACTTTCAGCATTCTAAATATAAAGCAGGTTGTGTTAAAAGGCAAACTTTTAATTCTCTTGAAATAAGAAAATATTGAATCTTCAACCTATTTAAATGGGTTAGTATTTATTTGGGATATTGAAGGAGCAATATGAAATAAACAGCTTTCAAATTTCTATATATATCATACCTTTTTACTTTCTGTAAGAACAGGAGGTAAAATGAATGGTGACATCACTGTTTCATTTTTTTGAGCCAATGTTCCAACAGACAGTGAATCTTGAACCTCTTTGCTGGATGATACTGTTGTAAGTGATTTATCACGGGTCTCTGATGGAGATTTATTGGATTGGTTTTCAGCAACTGAAACTTCATTTGAACTCTCTAAAAATGCTGATTCATCTTGAGACTTAAGGATCTGTGAAAGATCTGAAATAGCAGGGCTAGATCGTTTCTTCTCTGAGCTTTAGAATTATAAAACATCTGGTATTAGATTATGTGAAGACCATTTTATTTGCAACTGAAGAATCATTTTAATAACACATAAGGATATTCAATAAATAATTATAATTACTCATTAATTTATGATAATTCCAATATGAAATTGATGCTAGGTAACAAGTTGAAGACAGTAACATATGTCCTGTGATTTAAAGGGATACATAATACTAAGGAAATCATTTAAAATACTCCAATATAATCATTATTCAAGGTCACAAGCCACAGAACAAGAAAAATTTACTCAGCCAAAGTAGAACACAGGATGGTTTGGAGATTTACCTTTTAGTCACATTTATTCCAAAATTATTTTTCCACAATTTTATTTCAGAATGAAAATTAAAATCTCTCCACAGTCACTTTGACATTAAAAGATCACCATCTTTCACCAAAGTCAATTTCCCAAGCTCTGAGTTAGTTTTCTTTAAGGTAAGGGGTATTTTTTCTCCACCAGTTGCCAAAGGATCAGATTTCCAGGTTCCAGAACTAGGGTAACCAGGTGTCACGGTTTGCATGCACAATCCCAGTTTTTGCTTGTTGTCGCAATATTCTAGTTTAGATGATAATTTAAGTGATCAAACTATATAAAAATGTAACAAAGCTTTCTTAGTCCTATGAAATGCAACAGAATTTGATGCATTTTGTTTTTAACAGCTATTACCCCAGTTGACATAATTTGCCTAAGGTTTGTTGCAAAGTGTTTAAAATAATTTGAATTTTGGTCTCACAGAAGCAAAATTTTTCAGTGTACCTACTGCCACCTATCCTACGTTTGTTAGTTTAGAATGAATTTCAAACTCCAAAGTTTGGGTTATAAAAAAGGGGAGTGGGGTGGAGAGGACAGCTCTGAAAAAAAAAAAGGTAGATATAGATATAGATATAGATATATAGATATAGATATATGGTATGGACAGTTTTAAAAAACATAGAACTTATGACAGACTTTTGTAGTGGCATTATAAAGCAAATTGCAGTATTAAAAGTAAAGACAATAGGGGCTTCCTATCCCAAATTAAGGATAGTATCTCATTCTCAAACCTGATTTATTAGTTCTATTAGGTATCTGAATTTAAGGTGACTAGTTCTAAAATAAAGTCTAACACTCATCTGGAGACTATCTGTTACAGTTACTCACAAACCACCACCCCGACACTAATATTATCACATAGGTAAAAATAGAAAGCAAATTTTTTAAAGATTCTGAAATGGTTATTATGGAACATCATTAATCACTTGATTCTACACAGGCAATTTTCTTATAACAATAGAGAAAATATGTGGCAATACAAAGAACAATGCCTTAAATGCTAATATACTGTTCATTTATAACCATATTCCCACATTCAGGCATGCCCCACTTCTATCGTCTCTTGCAACCATAAGGAACCACAGCATAACAAGCATGATACTTCCGCTGAGGGGTCAGGAATAAAAAATACTAGGAAGGTGTGCAAGCAATGCTGTATTCAAGCTTGTGTCAGTCAAAGAGATGTGGAAATACTTTCAAAGCCCTACTGATTAGATGGTGAAGGAGAAGGAGAAGGGAGGAGGAAGAGAAAGAGGAGAATGAGGAGAAGGAAGAGGAGGAGTTGAAGGAGGAGGAGGAGGACAACAGCAATGATGACTACAGAAGGCAGCCTATTGACACAAAGAAAATAATAATAAAGCAAGTGATTTGCACCCTCCCAATTATTTGGTGAATTGCCATAAACAACCAAAATATGGTTTATAAATCTTACTAAATTTGTGTCATTCACTGTCTGATTTAGATTAAGACTCTATAATAATCACTCCATGTCTAAATACTACCATATAATGGTCTAATTATGAGCATGTATTTTAGCAGCTTTTATATAAGCATATTCACAGCACTCTACATGACAGTCTTCAACATGACTGAAGTGGTATAAAGAGTGTATCTCCTCCTGCTTGCGAAAGCATTTGTTAACTCTGAAGATCTGAGCATTGTATCCTTTTCTTACTAGTCAAATAGATGTACAGGGGCACTATCTGTTATGCATATAATCATGGACATTTCATAATTCTTAAATCAGGCAAAATGGAAAATGTCATTGAATAATAACTGCCCAAACTGCCCTCTTTTTTTTTTTCTTTTCAATACCTTCTTTTTCAGGAACTTTCTTTAACTCCATCCATTTTCTAAAATGTCAGCACAACCCCCAACCCATACCCCTCCCCTTAGGGAAAAAACTCTCTCACAAGTATTGATGTTACACTGAATTTTTAATTATCAATGCAAATAAGAGACAAATTATCAATAAAATACTAATAAAATATTATTGATATTCTTATCTGCAATAATACAAGAATATTATCGATATTCTTATCTGCATTCCTATATACAAGACAAACAAAAACATCTAGGACTTAAAGTGTGTAATACAGTACAAACTAACATGATTCTAAAAATCAATTTTATAGAATAATTTCAATATAGGTGTTACAAAAGTCAAAAGTTATAAATATTTTGACAGTTTTTAAAAATTACAATTACCGTTGATCAAAATATTCATAGTGAATAGTTTTAGGCTCCTCAACTGAAAAGAGAGTCTAAAATTTTTAAAGGTTCAGTAAAAGTCCAAGATGACTAAGAGCCTGGAAAAAATAAAAGGTTAAAATACTTGAAATTATTAACTTAAAGAAAATTAGTTTGATGGACTGCTTAGAAATAGTTTGTAAATGTGTAAATAATTCTTATACTGACAAGTTGCCTAGCTACATCTAGCTACACTAGCAATGCTATTACTGAAATAATCAGAAATGGAACTCAAACTATGGGGAAATTATATAGGATAAACGAAAAACTATTCTCATAATAGAAAAAAAAAACACGTTATCAGTTAATGAGAATGACAAACATGTTTCTGAATGGCCTCGGTTAATATCTCCCTTCCCTACTTGGTAGCTTGGCAGAGATCTCAATATTGCAATGTGCTCTGCTTGCTATTCTGCTCATAAGTTTTTCTCAATAAACCTTGTTATGTGTAGCTAGTGGTATGTGACTCATGTGTATGTTACAGCTTTTGAAAACAGAGAGTTTGGGCTACCACTGAAGTGGGAGATAACCCCATTGGAAGCCTTATACCAGAAAAACTACTAAGTTGAAATGGCCAATATCTCAGCGTCCAGATCTTATATAGTCATAAAAACTCAAGAAAGAACAAATTGCTTGTTCTCAGTGAGAATGGCTATAGAGATCAGGTAGCTATGGAATTATGGGACACCATAATCTCAGATTAAGTAGGATGTTTCTTTTGTATTTTTACCATGCACATTTTCCCTTTGCTCATTTTGCTTTGCATCCTTTTTATGTAATAAATCATGGTCATCATAATGACTATATGATGAGTGCTGTGAGCTCTCCTAGTGAGGGGAGTAGTCCTGGGGAACCCTAACACACAAGGCTACTATTTTGTACTCTATATTAATACTGATTGCTGTTTCTTTCTCAGATTATATAACTGATAAGGACATTCTGAATTATTAAACCGAGAACAGGTACACAACCATATTAGTTGGATAATTATCTATTGATAACCTCCATAATGACTGGCCAAGCACATGGTGAAAACCTGTCTGAACTGGCAAGATCATTCCATAATATTTCATATAGGAAGCATAAAAATAAAGTATTTTTCAAACAAAATGTAATGGATGCAGTGATTCTATGCAATGCTAGTCAGGTTAAGAAAAGAAAAAAACACTAGACACTTCATAGTGGACTACTGAAACTTAAGGAAAGAAACAGTTCCACTTACTCCAGACTCTGTCATTACACAAGATATAGAATAAATTGCTGCCACTACTGACACACATATGTAGCTGAGGATTTGGCAAGATATGCCAAGATTAGTAAATATACCTTTAATAATCCTTCTTGAGAATGTTTTAATTCCTATTATACATTTTCAATGTGGGACAAAACCTAGTAAAATGTGCATTGCTAGCAATCTCCAGATATTATATCACACTGATGACTGTGATCAACACCGAAGAAACATTACATGTTGTCTAGGCATACCTGATTAAAGATAACTTTAAATGATTCAGGGCCCTGTTATTCAGATAAATTTGGAGAAGGCAGTCATCATCTGGACAGCATCAAAAAAATACATTCTATATCACTTAAAGCAGGCATCCCCAACCCCCAGACCACGAATGATACCAGTCCATGGCCTGTTAGGAACTGGGCAACACAGCAGGAGGTGAGTGTCGAGTGAGCAAGCAAAGCTTCCTCTGGCAAAGTTCCTTACAGCCACTCTCCCATCACGAGCATTACCACCTGAGCTCCGCCTCCTGTCAGACCAGCAGCCTCATTAGATTCTCATAGGAGCACAAATCCTATTGTTAACTTCACATGCGAGGGATCTAGGTTGCGTGCTCCTTACGAGAATCCAATATCTGATGATCTGTCACTGTCTCCCATCACCCCCAGATGGGACCGTCTAGTTGCAGGAAAACGAGCTCAGGGCTCCCACTGATTCTACATTAAGGTGAGTTGTGTAATTATTTCATTATATATTATAAAGAAATAATAATAATAATAAAGTGTACAATAAACTTAATGTGCTTGAATCATCCTGAAACCACCCCCTCCATCCTGGTCCATGGAGTCTTCCACGAAACTGGTCCCTGGTTCCAAAAAGGCTGGAAACTGCCGCTTTAAAGGAAAATTTACAGGGCCTCCAGTCCCAACCACAAAGGAGTTTCCTTGTTAGGTAGTGGTGACATCACATTCTACACCTGGTGATTCTTCAAAGCACTATATCAATGCAACTAATTTTAAATAGAAGCTCATATATTAACATGCCTTGGAAGAGGTCTAGGCATCATAAAAACAAGCTCTAACTTTAGATTTTGCCATATCTTTCAAACTCATGGGATTACACATACCTGTAAGAAACCATTTTCTGAAGGAAGCTTTTGGCAAAAACACTGGTTTTTT